CGTATAAATCTACACTTTTCATAATTGTCTTCATAAAAGCTCTACTGAGTGCTTATAAGAGAGAATACAGCTATTACTGAACACAGAGTCTCCATGGAGTGTGTTGGTTTGTTTCAGGAGGAGCTAAAAACTGCACTGAAGCCCCTACAGGAGAAATTGAAGACTTTTAAAGACTGTAAACTGAACTGGAGTCAGACTGCAGAACATATAAAGGTTAGAATCAATAACATGGTTTTGATATTAGAGTTATATTTTGCATTACTGCATAATCAGTTATATTTCATTTGATTTCCTCTTCACTGCAGATTCAGGCCCAACATACAGAGCGGCGGATTAAGGAGGAGTTTGAGAAGCTTCACCAGTTTCTACGAGATGAAGAGGCAGCCAGGATCGCTGAACTGAGAGAGGAAGAGGAGCAGAAGAGTCAGATGATGAAGAAGAAGTTTGAGAAGCTGAGCAGAGACATAGCATCTCTTTCAGACACAATCAGGGCCGTAGAAGAGGAGATGAGAGCTGAAGACATCTCGTTCTTACAAGTGAGGATCATTTATTCAGTATTTATACTGTGAGAAAGTAAAACTTCTTTCCATCATCATATTTCAGTCGTGTAAAAATGTAAATCAGGTCCACTGATATTTGCTTTGTTGTTTTACAGAACTACAAGGCCACAGTGAAAAGGTGAGTGATGTGCTTCCCGTCTCTGTCGTTCTCTGTGTTTCTGACTCCAAACCCACAGCAGCACTGACTCCTGAATGTTTTTGCAGAGCCCAGTGCACACTGCAGCATCCAGAGGAGCTTTCAGGAGCACTGATCCATGTGGCAAAACATCTGGCCAACCTGAAGTTCAGAGTCTGGGAGAAGATGCAGGATGTTGTCCAATACAGTAAGAAACTTTCTTACTTACTTACTTTCTTTCTCTGTGTGTGTACTGTAAATTAATTGATTTCTTCTGTTTTTTCAGCACCTGTAACTCTGGACCCCAACACTGCTCATCCTAAACTCACTGTGTTTGATGATCTGACCAGTGTGAGATTCAGTGAAGAGGACCAGAAGCTTCCTGATAATCCAGAGAGATTTGATGATCGTTGCTGTATCTTGGGCTCTGAGGTCTTTAACTCAGGGACACACTGCTGGGACGTTGAAGTTGGAGATTGTACACAGTGGTCACTAGGTGTGATGACAGAATCTGCTCAGAGGAAGGGAAATGTATCCTCCAGAAGTGGAATCTGGTTTGTATGGTATTATTATGGTAAATATAGAGCACGTTCTACACCGCAGTCAGACACTCTCCTCTTAGTAACACAGAAACTCCAGAGGATCAGAATGCAGCTGGACTGGGACAGAGGAAATCTGTCGTTCTCCGACCCTCTCACTAACACACACATACACACTTTCACATACACATTTACTGACAAATTACTGCCATATCTAGCTGTTGGTTGTAAAAAATCTCCTCTAAAGATCCTCCCACTTCAGTGCTCTGTAAGAGTGAATCAGATCAATTAGAAATGATATTGTTTCATTCTAAATCATTAATGAAATATTGCTGAAAAGATTCATATTCTTTGTGAAAGTCTGTTTTTACAGAAGCACTGAACAGTTTGTCTTGAAATTCCAGTTATTAAATGAAAATAATGTGATTTTAGGTTAAAATAATTACCTACTTTGTTGAAATAATCAGTTATTAAATCAAAATAATTTGATAAATTTCAAATGACTA